ACCCCATCCCATCCCATCCCATCCCATCCCATCCCATCCCATCCCGCCCCCCGGCACCTGAAGGACATGGTGAACCACACCGCCATCATCATCAGCGTCACGCGCCGGAACTCGGGCGCGAAGCACTGCTGGAAGTTGCTCCAGACCTGTGAGGGGACGTGGGAGGTGATGGGGACACGGGAGGGGGCAGGGACGTGGCGGGTGACGGGACAGGGGGGCCGCGGGGACCCCCGGGCAGCTCCGGCCTCACCTGCTGCGACAGGTTGAGGCATCGGACGAGCCAGCGCCGGTACCACGTCCCGGTGTCCGACTGGATCTCGATGAGCTCGTCCTCCCGCTTGATGGTCTTGATGTGTGTGACCTGGGGGGGACAGTTTGGGGACACCGGGAAGCACCAGCCTCGGCCCCGCCCCACCTTGTACCTCAATTTCCCCCTCCCGGGCGCTGCTTTTATCCCAGAGCTTGGAATTGCAGCCCCTGCTCCTGGAGGAGCCCCCCCCTCCCACCTTGGGGTGCTGGGGACCCCAGGGCCCAGCCCTTGGGGGGGTCCTTACCGAGAAGACCCTCTCGGGGTGGCCCTTGGCCCTCATGTTGGTGTCGTGGACCTGCTTCAGCACCATCCAGGCCTCATCGTGCTTCCCGTTCTGTGAGGCAGCGCCGGGTCACCCCGGGACACCCCGGACACGGACACGGACACGGACACGGACATGGACCCAGACCACCCCCCTGCAGCCCCCATCTGGGTCCCACCACCCACCTGGGTCCTGCCACCCACTTGGGGGTCCTTGTGATGGTCCCTCCACCATCTTCATCACCTCCTTAGTGTCCCACCACCTGCCTGGAGTCCCTGCCTGAGTCCCATCATTCACTCCAGGGGATTTCTGCCCAGGCCCCACCGCCCCCCTGGGTGTCCCTCTCTGGGTTCCCCCATCTCCACCACCCTCCTGGGGGTCCCTGCCCGAGTCCCCTCATCTCCACCACCCACCTGGGAGTCCCTGCCCAAGTCCCCCCTGTCTCTACCATCCCCCTGGGGATCACTTCCTAGGTTCCCCCATCTCCACCACCCTCCCAGAGTTCCTGGATATGTTCCATCCCACACCTGGGGGTCCCTGCCCGAGTCCCCTCATCTCTACCAACCCCCTGAGTGTCCCTCTCTGGATTCCTCCAACTCCACCACCCTCCTGGGGGTCCCCGCCCAAGCGCCCCACACACGGGGATCACTTCCTAGATTCTCCCATCTCCTTCTCTCCACACTCGGGGTCCCTGATGCACCCCCAGCCCCCCTCCCAGGACACTGCCATGCCCCACCCCGTGCCCCCCCCACCTCCAGGTAGAAGCGGGGGCTCTCGGGCATGGTGGTGAGTGCCCCGATGGCGAAGACCGAGGGGAAGGCGCAGACGAGCACGAAGACCCTCCAGCTGTGGAACTGGTACGCGGAGCCCATCTGGAAGCTCCAGCCTGCGGGGACGGGACAGGACACGATGCTGGGGCTGAAACCCGGCGAGCCCCTCACGCTCCACCAGCCCGGGGGGTCCTACCGTAGTGGGGGATGATGGCCCAGGCCATGGCGGAGGCGTAGATGCCCCCGATCATCCAGAACATGCAGAGCCAGCTCAGGTGCTCCCCGCGCTTCTCCTGCGCCAGGAACTCCGAGAAGTAGGAGAAGACGATGGGGATGGAGCCGCCGATGCTGGGGACGGAGGGGAGCGGTGTCACCCCCGCCCCCGGGACCCCCCGCGCACGGGGGGGAGCTCGGCCCCCGCTCTGGGGGTCCCACGCGCGGCCGGGGCCCCCTTACCCCACGCCCGAGAGCAGGCGGCAGAAGAGGAAGGTGCCGTAGCCCTGGACGAAGGAGGAGAAGAAGGCGAAGACGCTGTTGACGGAGAGGGAGATGAGGAGGCACTGCCTTCGGCCCAGCCGGTCGGCCAGCCCGCCCCACACGAACGCGCCCACCATCATGCCCAGGTACACGATGAGTCCTGGGGAGGGGGACACGCGGAGAGGTCACTCCCGGGGCACCCAGGGACCTGCGCCCCGAGTCACCTGGCAGGGACCCCCTCCCTGGGACACCTGGGTGCCCTTGCAGGGAGGGGACAGAGCCCCCTGTGTGAATGGGGAATGGGGGTTGTCTCCCTGCTCTGCTTGCAGAGGGGCAAAGGTGCCTCCAGGACCCCCACACCCAGCCCCTTCCCCTGTGTTGAGTTTGCCAGGTCTCTCAGGGACACGGGGCACCAGTAACCCCGGGTTTGGGGGGGTGTCAGGCTGTGGTGAGCACCACAGAGAAGTGGGGGGATGCAACCTATCAATGCAGCCCTTCACAGCCCCCCCAAACCCACTCTCAGCATCCATTTATCAGCCCCCATCCATAAGTTCACACCCCTCAAACCTCCCTCCCCGTTGCTCAGGTGGGGACCAATGTGGGACTGGGAGGAGGAGGAGGATGGTGGGAGCCCTGTGCCCTGGGGGGGTCCTGCGTCCTTCCTTGTCCCCACATCCCTTCCTGGACACTCCACATCTCCATGTCCTCATGGCCCCCCAAATCTTCCTGTGTCTCCCCATACCCCCCATGTCCTTCCCCATCCCTAACCCCCTATCCCCTCACCCCCCTGTGCCTCTCTGCCCCCCCATGTCCCCATGTCCCCCCCATCCCGTGTGTCTCTCTGTACCCCCATATCCCCACAGTCCCCCATGGACTGCCCCACATCTCTCCACCTCTCCCAGTGCCCCTCCACGTCCCGCTGACCCTCCTGTCCCCCCCTGACTCCCCCAAATCCCCCCCCTGTACCCGCCCCTCCTCACCCAGCATGCCCTTGTTGGAGTCGGAGAGGCACATGTCCTTCTCGGCGCTGGGCAGGACGAAGCCCACCACGAAGACCTCGACGCCGTCGGCCATGAGGGCCAGGCCCAGGACGAAGTAGAGGGTCCACTGGAAGCGGCCGTGGCCGCACTCCTGCAGGATGAGCTCGTACTGCTGCGCCAGCTCCTCGCGGTCCTTCCGCCGCTGCCCCTCGCTGTCGTCGAAGGCGCCGGTGGCCGTGGCGGCCCCCAGGCGCTCCCCCCCCTTCAGCGACTCTTGCCGGGGGATCCCCTGGTACTCGCCCTCGTAGATCTCGTCCTCCTCGTCGTGGCCCTCGGTGGCGTCGCTGGACGCCCCCTCCTCCTCGTTGGCCCCCTCGCCCCCCCGGTAGTAGCCGTCCTGGGGCGCGTAGTCTTCGTCGTCCTCCTCCTCCTCGAAGCGGGAGTAGGAGCGCCGGGTGTACTCGTCCTGCACGCGGTCCATGCCCCGGCTCACCTTCTTGGCCGCCTGCTTCTTCACCTCCTTGGCGATGTCCTTGGCGCCGCGGATGAACGCCGTCCGGTCCCGGAAGGACTCGTCCATGGCGCCGGCGGGATGGGACGGGACGCCGGCGTGGAAATGGGGAGGGGTCTCTGCGTCGGGGGCTGCGCCCTCAGGCCCGGGATGGGGGGAGATGGGTGACGGTGCTACCCATCCGTGGGAGGGGGCGTGGGGGGACCCCGGACACCGGCCCGGACCTGGGGAGCCCAGACACAACCAGGGCTGTGTTAAGAGTGGCAACGGCCCCACATCCCACCTCCCAACTTTTTTCCTGTCTCAGATGGAAACAGGAGGATTTGGGGACCCCCCCGCGCCACAGTGAGGGGGGGGGATGGTCACCACAGGGCACAGCAGGAGGTGGGGTGGGGACAGGCTGGTGGACACTGGCTCCATGCCAGCCCCCACCCCTTAGGTGCCCCCTCCCCTCACTTGGGGGAATCCCAGCTCCCAGGGTTCACTGGGACACCCCCAGCACCACCAGATCCATCCCTTCCATGTCCATTCCAAAGGACAGAGGGAGCTGGGGGGACACCAGCTGGGGGGCATCACTGCCCCCGAGTATCCCCTGTCAATCCCCCTGGACTGTGAGTCACCCCAAAAACACAGCCATCAGCAGGCCTGAAGGAGCCCCCTATTTCCTTGGGCACCACAGGATGGAGCGGCACCAGAGGGACAGGCAGAGGACCAGCCCCAAGGGCATGGGGGTCCCCAAACCATCCCAACGCTGCCAGTGCCCGAGGTGGGGGCCTCAAGGAGACAGGTTTGGGATTTGGGGGGTCCCTTGGGTGACAGTGACCCGGCCACGTCCCTGGCTCTGACCCAGCACCACGTGTGCCAGACCACGCTCCCTGCGGAAGCTTCCAGGCAGGATTTGCTGTGGGAGACGCCGGTAGAGGCTGACCCGGGAAGAGGGGGACTGGGGGCACCCCAAGTGCCCCAGGGTCCAGCCTTGGGGGAGGAGAGGGGGCACCCAGATACCTGGGGGGTGGCACCTCCCTGTGTCCTCATACCCTGTCCCCCTTCCCAGCCCAGCGACTCCCCCCCGGCCGTGCAGAGCCCAGCTCAGCTCGTGACAGGGATGGACCCGCAGCCCCCCAGCCCGATGCTGCTGCCCCGGCCGCGGGGGCCGGTGTGACCCCCCCAAAGTGCTATTTTTATCCCCGGCCAGGCGGGAAGGAGCTGCGGGCAGAGGGAAGGAGCTGCGGGCGAGGGACGCAGCCGGCGCCGTGTCCCCCCTCCCCGAGCGAGGGGACAGGGCACGCGGGGACGCTAAATTTAGCCCTTCGGAAACCCCGTGAGGGGGGGGGGCTGCGGCAAGGCCCGGCCCCCCCTTCCCCAGCGGAGCTGGGCAGGTGATTTCACAGGATAAAATGGCAAATTCCCCCCTGCTCTCTGCTCCGGCCGGGGGAAGCCCCTGCTCCCCTCTCTGGGGGTCCCGCGGGCCCCCCGAGGCCCCTGGAAGGGGCCGATCCACGGCCAAGGTCATTTTTCTCCGGCCAGGCTGGCGGTTCCCTGCGGAGCCTCCCGATGCAGGGCCGGTGTTTCACGGAGCGGGAGCTATCGGGGGCTGGGGGAAGGAATCGGGGAGCAGGGAGAGGCCAAGTGCGCGGTGAGGAAGAGGATGGGCCGGGGAGCAAGGTCACCGCGGGCTCCGTGACGGAGGAGCGGCCGCACGAGCCGGGGAGCCTCGAGCGGCCGAGCCGACGGCAGGAGCCGGCGCCGGATGAGATCGAGGGTTTGATGCCACGAGGAAGCCAGAAATCCCACAGACCGCAGCCCCCCGAAATGCAGGAGGCGGGGGGGGGGGAGGTGTCCCCCCAAAATGCCCGTCACGGGGGCAGAACGTGCCGCTGGCCCTGCGGCCCCGTCCCGGCGCTGGCCAGAGCCATCACCGCCAGCCCTGGACAAGGTTATCGGACCTGGATCCGGCTCCTCCTGCCGCGCATCCGAGCGGAGCGGGGGGTCGATGCAGCCACGCACCCCAAAACCCCCGGGGGTCCCAAGCTGGGGTCTGTCCCCCCTTCCCCCGCAGCCCCCAGCCTCCCTGCAGAACGCCAGGAACATGGCGACAAGGGGAGAGTTTTAAATCACCCGTGTCCAAGGTCACCCCCCAAATACTCCAGTGCCACCCCCTCCCCAAAAACCCGCCGGTCCCCCCCCACTCCCATCCCTGCGGCGGATTCCCGATCCCCTCCGGCTGCTCCCCGGCCGCAGGACGGCCCGGGGGGATGACAGGAGCCCCCGAACACGCACATCCAAAGGCAGACCCGGGCTCCAGGAGAGGTTTTCCAGGACAAAATGGCCACAGCAAGTGGGAAGGAGAAGCCGAACCCCGAATCCATCAGCGGCTCCGTGAAGGCCGATTAACGCCGTGGGGAGGGGAGGGGATGGGATGTGGGGATATAAACCCGTTTTGTTCCCCCTTTACCTGGCTCAGCCCTCGCTCCGCTCCAGCTCCAGCTCCCTCCCGACGCCGGCGAGGAGGAGGAAGGTGCTCCGGCGAGGAAGGATGCTCGGGAAGGGATACGGCGAGGAAGGAGGATGCTCCGGCAGCGACACGGCGCGACAGCAGCTCCCGGGTACCAGCGCTACCGCCGCAGCCTCCGCCGCACACACGGAGCGCTGGGAGAGTCCATCGGCGCAGCCCCGGGAAGGGAGGGATCAGCCACGGCACGCGGATACCGGGGGGGCTCGGCGGGAGGGGGGGGCTCGCCCCTACCGAGGGGGGGGGCGCGATGGATCCCCCGGGATGCGCACGGGGAGCTCCCGCGGGATCGGGGCTCCCGGGATGGAGCTGCTGGGATGGAGCCGCTCCGGAGGCTGCCGATGGCGGGGAGCGGGTGGTGGGCACGGGGGGCACGAGCCGGTGGCCCCCCCGGATCCCCGTGCCGCGGCTGATCCCTCCCTTCCCGGGGCTGCGCCGATGGACTCTCCCAGCGCTCCGTGTGTGCGGCGGAGGCTGCGGCGGTAGCGCTG